GCCTGTATGGTAACACCCTCCCCGCGACGACCTTGCATCAACGTTGCACTACAAAGCAGTTCGCGTTGTGTGTGATGCTGCTGTTTTTGGTGTCCTGTTTGTTCAATGGTGGAGGGAAAGCATTCCATGCGGGGGCAGGTGCTTCTCACACCGGCAGTCTTCCCTTCCACGGTACTACTCTAACCCCAGTGGTCGTCGTGCTTGTTTCTGTCGCTGCTGCTGTGACGTTTTCGACCCCGTTTAGTATCGGACAACGTGCGCTCTCCAAGCTTTGTCGCCCTGTGCTCGAACCTGGTGCTATTTTCCAACCTGACCACGGTTCCTTCTGGAAACGCACTCAGGATTTCCCCGCGGTGATGGTCGGCGGCACGGTGGTGGAAGGGACCTGGGTAACCGCAATATTGTTCGGGGTCTCCAGCGCCATGCTTGGCGTGTCGGGATTCGAGTCGTCCTCGCAGTTCGTGGAAGAGCAGGCCAAGGGCGTCTTCGTCAAGACCCTTCGTAACATGCAGGTGTCTTGCTGTCGTGTGAACGTAGGGTCCGTGGGTTAGGGGCGCCTGTGTGTGCTCCGGCGTAACACGTGCAGATTGGTGCCGATTTGTGTTTGTTGGGTCCATCTTGAGCGCTATGCATCATGCGTGATCATCACTGTTTTTCCGAAGTGTGGGTATCCCTTCAGGTTCGACTCAACATCCATCGTTTCTCCCCAACGAGAGACGTGTGACGTACAGGTACGGCTTCGATAATAGAAGTATCGATGTAAGAGAAAGTACGAGTGAACATCGTTGGTGACGGCCATGACAAATACACACCTCGTGCACAGTATGGTAAGGTTTTAAGAGATGGCCGGAAAAATGAGTCCAGTTACGGCTCGTCCAACCCTCGCGCTTGCCTTTTCTGCCGCCACTGTAGTCGGTATGATATGCACCTGACGTTGTGCGCGAAGACATCGGCGGTTTAGAGCAGACCTTTTTGCGGTTATTTGGGATGTTCATGTGGGAATGGGAGATCCACGGGTATGGTTGTGGTAGTTATTGTGTTGCGATAAAACTCACGAGATACGGATTGCGACTTCGGGCGTTGTATCGTCGTTATCAAGCTAGCAGAACGACGCTGAATCTACCAAGAGCAAAAGTCACGTCACGATAACAGTTTCACCCTCCTAGGCGGGGACTACTGCGGTTGAGCACACTGAGGCCAAGGCCGTGTTTCGTTTTCCAACAGGAACAAAATGGACGAAATTGGACACAAACTTCTGCAGCATTGCGTGTGTGTGTTTTGTGTGCTCAACGCGCCTGCTTTTGCTTTTCTTGAACATGCTGCCTGCCGTCGCCGGTGCTCGTGGTTTCAGTGGGGTGTTGCCGTCTTCAATCCCGCCATCTGCCTTCTGAGCTTGTGCGTCTTGCCTATGGAGGAGATCATCGAGTACAAGGTGAGATTTTCTCGCGCGTATGCACGACTCCGCGAAGTTACCAAGGAAAAACTGACACGTTTGTTTCTTCGCTTTGTGCGTGTCGGGAGGTTTGTCCTGAAAGAGGTGAGGTTGGGCTGTCTTTGAGGGTGAGGATCTTTGAGGGTGAGGATCGTTGGTGTGGGTGATCGTTGAGGGTGATGATCGTTGAATATCGTTTAGAGTAAGCATCGTTGAGCGTGAGCATCGTTGGCGCCGAGGATCTTCGGCGTTTGAGAATTGTTGAACATCGTTGAGGGTGAGGGTCGTTGACGTCGATGATCGTGGGCGTCGAGGATCGTTGGGAGTGAGCATCGTTGGCACCAAAGCACCGTTGACGTCGAGGATCGTAGAACATCGTTGAGCATCGTTGATGTCGAGGATCTGCAGGAAAGTTGCGTTCGTTGACACTGAGCATCGTTGACACGGAACATCGATACCGTCGAGGGTCGCGGAGCAACGTCTAGCATAGTTGCGCACCGTCGGGGGTGAGGATCGCTGCTGTCGAGAATTGTGGGTGTGAGCGTCGTTGACATCGAGAATCGTTAGCGTCGATGATCATTGAGGGTGAGGATTGTTGGCGTCGAGGATCGTTGGCGTCTTGATGGTTGAAAGTGAAGATCGTTGGCTTCGATGATTGTTAAGGGTGTGATGAAGATCGTTGGCTTCGATGATTGTTAAGGGTGAGATGAAGATCGTTGGCGTTGAGGATCTTGGGGGGTGAGGATAGTTGAGGGTGAGCATCGTTGACGCATTGTTGGAGGTGAGGATCGTTGACGCGCAACATCGTTGGCGTCGATGATCGTTGAGCATCGTTGAGCGTCGTTGAGCATCGTTGAGAGTGAGGACCGTTGACGTCGAGGATCGTTGAGAGTGAGAGTGAATATCGTTGACGCAGAGGATCGTTGGTGTCGAGGATCGTCGAGTGTGAGGATCATTGAGCGTGAGGATCGTTGAAGCCAAGGATGAGGATCGTTGAGGGTGAGCATCGTTGAGGATGGTTCAGGGCAAGGAGTGGTGAGCGTGACGATCGTTTGGGTGAGAATCCTTGACGATTGACGCCGAGAGTCGTTGGGGGTGTGGATCTTTGGCGTCGAGGATCGTTGGCGTCCATGACGGTTGAAGGTGATGATCGTTGGCGTCGATGATCGTTGAGGGTGAGGACCGTTGACGCTGAGCACCGTTGACGGCGAAGATCTCTGGCGTCGAGGATCTTTGGGGGTGAGGATCGTTGAGTTGAGGGTGAGGATCGTTGACGCCGAGCATGGTCGGGGGTGACGATTGGTGACGCGACACATCGTTGACGTCGAGGATCGTTGGCGGAGGATCGTCGGAGTCGAGGATCGTTGAGGGTGAGGATCGTTGACCCCGGGCATTGTTGACACCGAGTATCGTTGAGTGTCATCTATTAGCATCGTTGAGCATCACTGACTGTGAGCATTGTTGACGCGAGCATAGTTGGCGTCGAGACTCGTTGTTCGTGAGGATAGTTGACGCCTAGAATAGACGGCATCGAGGATCGTTGAGCGTGAGGATCATTGATGCCTAATATAGTTGACGCCTAGTATCGCTAAAGTCGACGAGTATCGCTGAAGTCGACGAGTATCGCTGAAGCCGACGATCGCTGAGGCTGAGCATCGATGTCGTCGAGTATCATGGAGGGTGAGGATCGTTGCCGTCGAAGATTGTTGTTCGTAAGGATCGTTGAGGGTGAGGATCATCGAGCGTGAGGATTGTTAACGCCCAAAATCGTTGGCGTCGAGGATTGTGGAGGGTGAGCATGGTTGAGGATCGTTGAAGGTGACGACTGTTGAGCGTGACAATCATTGAGGGTGAGCATCGTTGACGCCGAGCATCGTTGACGTGAAGCATAGTTGACGTCGAGGATCATTGCTCGTGAGGATCCTTGAGCATTAGCGTCGTTGGCGTCGAAGATCATTGGTCGTAAGGATCGTTGAGGGTGAGGATTGTTGACGCCGAGGATCGTTGGCGTCGAGGATCGTTGAGGGTGAGGATCGTTCACGTCGAGGACCGTTGACCGCGAAGATCGTTGACCGCGAGGGTCGTTGACCGCGAGGATCATTGAAGTCGAGGATCGTTGACGCCAAGCACCGATAAGCGTCATTCAGCATCGTTGAGCATCGCTGACAGTTAGCATCGTGGACGTGACGCATAGTTGACGTCGGCGATCGTTGTTCGCAACGATCGTTGACCTCGAGGATCGTTGATTTCGAGGGTCGTTGAGGGTGAGGGCCGTTGACGCCAAGCATCATTGACGCCGAACATCGTTAAGCGTCATTCAGCATGGTTGAGCACGCTGGCAGTTGTGAAGCATAGTTGACGTCGACAATCGTTGCTCGTGGGGATCGTTGACTTCGAAGATCGTTGAGAGTCAAGATCGTTGGCACGAAGCATCGTTGACGTCGAGGATCGTTGAGCGTCATTATCGTTGAAGTCGAGGATCGTTGAAAGGATCGTTGACACGAAGCATCGTTGAGCGTCAGGATCGTTGAGGTTGAGCATCGTTAACGCCGAGCATCGGTCGAGGTGAGTATCGTTGAGCGTGAGCATCGTTGACGGCGAGGATCGTTGAGCATGAGGATCGTTGTGGGTGAGGTTCGTTAAGGATGGTTGAGGGTGAGATCGTTGACGCCGAGCATCGTTGATGGCGAGGATCGTTGAACGTGAGTATCGTGGACGGCGAGGACAGTTGAGGGTGAGGATCGTTGGGGTCGAGAATCGTCGAGCGTGAGGATCATTGACGCCGGAGATCGTTGACGATGAAGATCGTTGACGTTGAGGAGCGTTGAGGGGGAAGATCTTTGAAGTCGGGGATCGTTGAGCGTGAGTATCATTAGCGCGAAGGATCGCTGGCGTCAATGATGGTTGAGCGTGAGGATCGTTGCGGATGAGGATCAGTGACGCCGAGGATCGCTGGGGATCAATTAGCATTTTTGAGCATCGCTGACAGTGAGCATCGTTGACGTGGCGCATAGTTGGCGTCAAGGATCGTTGAGGGTGAGCATCGTTGAGAGGTACGCTAGTTGAAGATGAGGGTCGTTGACGGAAAGCCTCATGGCGCATAGTTGGCGTCAAGGATCGTTGAGGGTGAGCATCGTTGAGAGGTACGCTAGTTGAAGATGAGGGTCGTTGACGGAAAGCCTCGTTGGCGTCGATGGACATGGGGCATTGTTGAGCATTTTTGATCATCGTTGAGGGTGAGCGTCGTTTACGCCGAGGATCCTTGACAACAACGACCGTTGAGGATGTGTATAGCTGGAGTCGAGAATCGTTGAGCGTGTGGGTCATTGACGACAACGATTTTTGGGGTTGAGGATCGTTATGAGTGAGGATCATCGAGTATCGTTGACAGCGAGTGTCGTTGACTGGGAACGTCGTTGGTGTCAGGGATGGTTTACAACGATCGTTGAGGGTGAGGATCGTGGACGAAAAGTATCGTTGGGAATATGGATCGTTGATGCTGAGGATTGTTCAGGATTGTTGACGTCGAGGACAGTTGAGCGTCGTCGAGAGCTAGCAATGTCAACGACCATTCACCTGTGTGGAGTATCGGTGAGCATCGTAGAGAGCGAGCATCGTTGACGCCGGGCATCTTTGACGCCGAGGATCCTTGAGGGTGGGGATCGTTGACGTCGAGGATCATCCAGCAAGGCTGAGCATCCTTGAGCACCGTTGATGAGGAGCATCGCTGGCGTCGAGGATGTGCCAGGATAAGGATGGTTGACTACAAGAGTCGTTGAGAGTGAAGATCGTTGACGTCGAAGATCTTTGACGTCGAAGATCTTTGACGTCGACGATCGTCGACGTCGAGGATCGGTGGCGTCGAGAATCGTTGAGGGTGGGAATCGCTGGCGTCGAGGGTCGTTGAGGGTGGGGATCGTTGACGCCGTGCATGCTGGCACGAAGTGTGTGGTGAACTGTTCGGTGTTGAAGTTCGCTGTCCTCACTTTCAAGATGAGGTGTAGGTTTTAATACGTGAGCCTTCAACCCCTCACCAAGTGTTGCTGCATCAAGCCTTTGCTTATGCTCTAGTGCAATAATCCTGTGCCTGAAACAGACGCCCAAGCCTCCCTTAAAACGTGAGGTTCTTCAGTGCTGGTGCTATTTGGCGTCCCGCCTACCGTCCCTGACGTGACGCTGTTCTTCCTCTCCTACAAAGGCCGACCCCCTCCATCTTGGGTCTTGTCTCTCTTGAGGGGTCTTTCCCGCACCCTAGCACTCGTGAGCACCTGTTCCCAGCCCCATCTTCCGTACCCCACATGTCTACCGTGTCAGCACATCATGATCTCAATCATGGTCAATCGGGTCCGTACTGTGCCTGTCCCCCTGCTTGTGTGTGGCGCGCCTGTTGTGTACAAGCGCGCAAAGATCGAAGTCCCTTGCGGTATTTGAAGCAGGGCAATGCCTGCCGAATGTGAGACGTTTGGTTCGCCGGATACCCAAACAACGTCATAACACGTTCGGTTTGGCACAGCAATCTCAAGGATGATGACAAGCTCCGGGTTCATCCCCCGTGAGAACCATATATCCTGGACCGGCGGAAACTCGGCATATCGTTCCGTCCCGGCATTGTCAATTGTCTAACGATTCCGGCATGCGTTTACACGAAAGCCGCTCCGTCCCTTCGAGGCTTTTCTCTCCACCGGTGTCCCTCGTCCGTACCGCCCTTGCCCGCCGTTTCAGCACTCCATGCTGGCAGTCATGACCCAGCGGGTCGGGTACTGGGCCTGTCCCCTGTTCGAACCGTATCCTGGACCGGCGGAAACTCGGCATATCGTTCCGTCCCGGCATTGTCAATGTCTAACGATTCCGGCATGCGTTTACACGAAAGCCTCTCCGTCCCTTCGAGGCTTTTCTCTCCACCGGTGTCCCTCGTCCGTACCGCCCTTGCCCGCCGTTTCAGCACTCCATGCTGGCAGTCATGACCCAGCGGGTCGGGTACTGGGCCTGTCCCCTGTTCGAACCGTATCCTGGACCGGCGGAAACTCGGCATATCGTTCCGTCCCGGCATTGTCAATGTCTAACGATTCCGGCATGCGTTTACACGAAAGCCGCTCCGTCCCTTCGAGGCTTTTCTCTCCACCGGTGTCCCTCGTCCGTACCGCCCTTGCCCGCCGTTTCAGCACTCCATGCTGGCAGTCATGACCCAGCGGGTCGGGTACTGGGCCTGTCCCCTGTTCGAGCGTGTCCTATGTATTCACCGATCTCCCACCCACCGCCTTCTCCGTAACAATGCCGTTGCCGGTCTTTTCAGCACTCCATGTTGGCGATAATGGCCAAGCGGGTCGGGTACTGGGCCGGGGGGTGCCTCGGCTTACCTACCCCGGGGTTGGACCTTGGCGAGGTGTTCGCATTCTGGGTGTCGCTTGACGCCTTCGTCGTGCTGTCGGGGGCGGTGTTGACGGCGTACGTGGGCATCAGCGGTCTGCTGGCGAGGATGGCCAAGGACCGCTGCCTTCCACAGTTCATGCTCAGGAAGGTCGGTTGTGTTTGTTGCTGGCTGTTTTGTTGATGATGATGCTGGTGAGGGTGTTGTTGTCGTTGTTGTTGATGATGTGGTTAGTGATAATGTTGTTGCTGTTGATAGTGTTGTTTTTGTCGTTCTTGATGTTGTTGCTGGCTTTGCGTGAGAGACGCTTACACGGCCACCGAAGCTATCCGTTCGTTCGACCAGACACGACTTTCGGGGTTACATCCAACCGACCACAGGTTACGGGAAATGCACATACGCAAGCAAGATAGCGCATGATCGGCCTATTTATACAATCCCGGCCAAACGCCGCATGGTAGGTGTGGTAGGCTCCCTCCCCTCCCCCCCTCTCTTTTCTGTTTTCACTGCTTGTTTTCGTTTGAGACATGGGTTGTGGGTGAACCAGCCCAGACGTGATGTGGCACCACCACATTTGTCTGTCTTCATGTGCTGTGCAACGGCATTGGTCTGGCTTCATGTGCCGCACGAACACATTCGTCTCTGTTCTTCCAGCTGCTGTAGCGTAGCTTCCGGTTTTATCCCTCACGTGTGTGTCTTTCTGAACCTTGTGACACCTTGTGATACGACCGGACTGTTGTGCATTCTCGCGCTTGTGTTTTGCATCCGCCGCCCCAGAACAAGTGGAGAGGGACGTACCACTACATCATCTTCGGGTTCTTCTTGCTGGCTACAAGTCAAGTCATCATCCTGCAGGTAACCCTAAACCCTAACCCCAACCCCAACCCCAACCCCAACCCTAACCCTAGACTACATCTGCTAACAACGTAGAACACGTTTACTATAACAAAGGTGGGTGTGTTTTGTTGTTGCGTCGACCGCTAACCGGCTGACCGATGAAACTACGTAATTTTCAGCGATTTCGTCTCACGTATCTAGAGGCCAGTGTACATGGGAAGTGCGTAAGTGTGCTTTCCCCCCCTCTACGGTGTTAGTTTCAATGATTACTCCGGTTGCCAGCTAGTGTGTTTCGTTGCGGGATAAGTTCCGGCGCGGGATGACGCCCCTTTGCTGAATGACGTCCCGGTGCAGAGTGACCAATGGTAAGTGAGTTCCCTTCGCGGAATGACGATTTTTCGCGGAATGAATCACTGGTGTCGAGCACGTCCGGTTGGATTTTCAAAGCTCTAAACGATATGGGGAACGATCGGAGGTTTGCAGCCCTCATGGTATCATCCCGCGGCAACCTCCTGGCAACTCCCCTTCTCGACTTTGCTCCACCGTCTTTTTCAGCTAGAGTACCTAATGCTGACAGCACTAGAGTGGAGTGAGAACCAGCACCGCGCCATGATTGGTTCCTTCTTGATGTCTGCCTGGCCGAGTTGTCCATCGTCAATTGCTCCTTTCTACGGTTGTCTCCCGAAGGCTCGTTTGAGATACTCATTCCGCTGACAATTTTTGTTCATTCGCGATACGTCGTGTGGTCGTTGTTGTCGGTGTCTTCACACAAACTACCGTGCCGGGCTCGGTCCTCTACCTCATCATCTACCCATCTGTGCTCATGTTCCGTAACTGCCGCACCCTTGAAAGGCGTCGACGCCCGGTAACTAGTACGATTCACTTTTGAATCGTGACCTACGCCAGCAACAACAGCGTCTCAAGGTGTCTATTTTCGCCGTACGTGCTATTTTCGAGCACGGCCAAGCGTCAAGACCACAAGCTTATCAAGACAAACGTGCCGCTGTTGTTCCGATCGCTCCTTTCCCCCAGGGGGACATCACGACCTTGTCAGGCGTGTACACGTTTTCATTCTTGGGGGTGATGACCCTCTTTTCCGTCGGCACGATCCTGCTCAAGTTCAAGAGGCCCTCGCTCCCGCGAGAGGTCACGGTCAGCTACGCTACCACCCTCGTCGGGATTACCTGTGTGAGTCCGGTACTGCTTGTTGTTGTTGTTGATGTTGTTGCCGTGGTAGTCTGGGCTGACGCTACCACCCGCATAGGTCGGAGCTGCCTGCGTGAGACCGGGTGTTGTTGTTGTTGTTGTTGTTGTTGTTGTTGAATGTTGAGTTGTTGGAGGCCGTGTTTATTTTGGTTTCTATGTTCCTGTTCGCGAAAATGACCGCCATTTCAACCACCATTCATATGTCTTTCTTGCGTGTATATATTACGGTCGTGTAAGGTTAAGCGTTTCTCCGGCACCACCTTGCAACTGCCGATTATCATTCAATTTCATCCCTTCGCTTGTCTTCGTTTGCGATGAACACACAGGTAATTACCGCATTCGTTGGGAACATGCTGAGCAAGCCCGAGGTGGTGTCGTGGTTCCTGATCTACTTCATGGCGGTGGGATTCGTAGTTGTCTTGGTTTTCCTTCGGGTGCGGCTGCTCAAGATCTTGCTCAAGTTCGCGCAACCCGTCTGCTGCGGTGGGAGGACATTTTTTTTTTTTCAAACTCGATGTGGGTTGGCCAGGCGTTTTTTTCCATCCTTCAGTATTCCTTATGTTTTCTTGTTCTCCGAAGGTACGTCGATGTTGCCTCTTGACCTTCATGCAACGTTCGTCCGGCTACGTATCCTTCGAGGCGGGAAGTTCCACGGACAAGTGTGAAATTGTTGAAGTGTGTTGTGTACATTTCGTGTCGTACTGTTCGTGTGAGAACTGTCGCAGTTTTTCTTGTGTATCACCAAAATCTGAGCCTTTTCTTCGTTGAAAGTTTTTTTCTCAATGGCTGGCATTAACTGTATTGGACATGCCCCCCCCCCCACCCTTCCTGTTGTTGCTTGCTGCATGCCTAACGCATCGTGCGGATAAGATGGTGTTACGTCGAGCATAAAGGACCAGCTTCACGAGCTTCAAGACGAGCCGTTCGTGTTCTTTTGCAAGCAACCAGATACGTACGTCATTAACAAGGCCATTCTATATGTCAGGTGAGGACGAAAGCCAGGTATGGTACATCGTTGCATGCCCTACTTTCTCAAGGCATGTGACGGTGCTTGGTGCACATACCTCCGGGCCATCCCCGATCCCATTGTTGTTTTCTTCACGTTAAGAACCGTTCCGATCTCTCTAGTCTACCCAGGAACTTCAGCTGCCCGTATTGATCGAACACTTGACCAAGCGATACCCGTGGTCACAGGCTAACTTTTGTAATATAGTTATACTTGAAATATAACCCCATGCTTGTCAATGAGGTACGCCCCACGAGTTTTTTGTACTAGCGGCAACATTTCGAAATACAGCAGTTTCACGGCCAACGTGTTTGTGACTACCAGCAGGCGGATAGATCTTGCCGTTGTGTCATGGAGATACCGTTTGATTCCACCATTCCCCCGTGTGTGGTTCCCTCGGCGGTTACACGGAACTGTCGGGGGGCCGTGGTGTACTGCGTATTGACCCGTATGGCTTCTTCAAAGTACTGCTGTTCACTCATGGTGTGGGTTGGTACAAATGCTGAAGTTTTTCTGCTACCTTCAGGGATAGGGGTAGGGCGGGGTTGGTCTGATGCGTCCAGAATTTCCTCCGTTGTGAATGGGAGTTTATTTTGTCTTTCGACGTGTCGTTGGAATTGCCGTCGAAAGAGATTCGTGGATGATATTGACCCCTGCTCGTGAACAACGCTCCAACACCGGCAGAGATTGAAACGTAGACACCGTGGCACGTTTTGGTACCAGCCGTATGCTGTCGTTGTCGACGCACAGCAGTGCCTTGCGTTTTATGCCACCCCAGTGGGCATACGACTCGGCTACTCAAGCACCTCCAAACGAAAAGAGAAGGGGTTACCCTTGGTAATACAAGATACCCCCAGGATCGATTTTCAAGGCTCGATCACTCCACAGCAAAAAAAAGTGGCGGCGCCGAAAATGACGGTGTTGCAACGTTTTCGTCGACATCTTTCCGAAAACGTATTACTTATTTGATTTTGTCATCTTGTGTCACCTGCGGTGGAGAGGCATGTAGCTGCTGCTGCAGCAGCAGCAGCAGCAGCAACGCCGGCTGGCGTGAAGGAGCTGGGTAGACTCCCTCCGCATATGTTGGACAGGTTCAAACCAACGCAAGCACTGAAGCTGTTTCAATGTTATTGAAGCTGTAATGATATTGAAGCTGTTTCAGTGCCTGTCTTGCTTCGATTCCGTCCGGCACACCTGTAGAAGGTCTATGGCCCAATCCGACGCGCTGACCGGTGCCGTTCGTGCTGCCGCAGTTCACGCTCTCTCGGCCCCTCCCTTTCCCTTCGGAGGTGGTGGGACGTGGTGAAGTGTAGCCTGTTGTTTCGTTGGGGCGGTGTAGAAATGGACAAGGCACTGTGCGTTGAGGAAAACGGAGTCCTTTTTTTTTTATGCGTTGTTGTACAGGCCGCAAGGCAAATCGAAACTTGGTGAAAGAAGAGTATGGTTGCCCTGTTTTGAAATCTGATTGCTTATTGATACGGTTTACCTCGTGATCAGTACGATTCATTTTTTAGCCTTGGTAGACCGCATCCGCAAAGTATTCATTCTGGTGCCAAACAAGAGAAAACGCAAGTCCTTGCTTTTTTGTCTTATCTGATGCTAGGTATTCTACGTGACGTTGTTGTTCTCGATGCCCGTACTTGTTGACCTGCAGGGACAACGAGCACACAAATAGGCTAATCGTGGTGCACTGCTCCAACGATGTCGAAGGAGCGACGATCAAGACGTTATCCAAGCACATCGAGATGTTCGACACCATGTACCCGAAGATCAAGATCAGCTTGTTGACGGTGACCGGTAGCTTCAGCCCCGGAACCATAGACTGGTTATCCCAGTGAGTGTGCCCCACACTTTTCGTTCGGATTTCCTCATCTTTTCATGTTGTTTTATGCTCTTTTCGAAGCTAGATCTTTTTAGTCTCTCCTCATGAAATAGTAGGCAGAGCGCCGGAAACGGTTCACAACCGTATTGTTCCGAACTGATAATGAAACGGCGGGGTTCATTCAACACCGCTTCATTTTTTGGGAAGTTCCGTCTGAAGAATGAGGCTTCAGATTTCAAACCAAATGGCCTCGCTACTTCTGTGAACTTCCCACCTGACCATGATGCAATAGGCTTCATACGAAATCACTTCATGACTGCTGTAAAGTTTCGACCTGATGACCGATGAAGCAGACTCACACACACAAGTTTGAGCCGGCTTTCCAACTTTTAAATTAAACAAGTTATACTTCGCACTGCCGTGCCGTTTTGCGCGATTCCTTTGTTTGTTCCGGTTTTCGGATGTCTCGCGTTTGGATGCTCTTGTCGGTGCATCTACGATGACGGACTGCAGAGAGCTCGGGGTCCTCAAGGTAGGCCTGACATGTTGGCAGCGCGAGGGTGGATGCCGCCCTGTGGCAGTGCCCGCCAAGTCCAATAGCGGGCGAATCCACACCTTGTTGGTTGCTACGTTTTCCACGAGCCAGGGGCCATGCACGGCGGACGTGCCTCTTCTTTTGCCAACAGCGTCCACCTCATTCGGTTGTCTTTCAGGCGCCTCTAGCACTTTTCAAGCAGGGGGCTCCACAATACCTTTGGAATTTATTGTGCGCCAGCAGGTCAACAGCTTGCACAGCAGTACCCTCTGCGCTGTACATGCTCGTGTGGGTTGTTGGTTGTTTAGTATGTGAATCACAACCCTACCTACGTGTCGTGCGAGCGCACAGCACGGGCAACCCAGCGCTCTGGCAAGAGAAGCAATACCGACACAACCGTTTCTCATGACCCCCCCTTATGTATTGTGAAGTGGTCTCAGCTGCCCTGTAACCGATCTCTCTCTGTGTCTTGTGGCTGCAGAACAAGTTCTTCATCACGTGCCTGGACTCGGTCTTCAAGTACAAGATTCAGGAGCTCGGAGGTGTGCGTGTCATCACGCACTGACTTTGTGGCTTTGGCTTTACTTCGGAGTTGGCGGAACTGCCCCTCGAAGGGACGGCGGCCCGTTAGGTCGTTTCTCTGCCGTTCGCGACGGGCGGGACCTCTAGCGTATGACTGTGCGCCATAATCTCTACGCACNGTAAGGCACCACTTTATCAGGGAACTGGTAGGCAGGAAGGAGATTTCGATTTTTCACGTGGAATCGGCGTATCAACATGCTGACTTTCTCACGAAAGCACTTCACGCGGGAGATTTTGAGTTTCATCGTAACTACGTGATGAGTATGGATTAATATCTTGGTGTTCGGGTTTATTTTGTGTGTGATCAAACAACTGGGGTGGCAACATTTTACATTTTTGCCTATGGTTTTTCTCAATGGATGATGTTCTAGGCTGGGGGGCAACAAGTTCACTGAAGTTCGAAGAAGTATAACTGGTATGATCGGGGATGGTTATTGATGTCTAGCCAATGAGGCTATTGTTCTAGAGTTGAGTGGAGTTTCTGACTCAGTCAGCGAGAGGCTTACCCATTAGACTACTCAGTCAGCGCTGACTGAGTAGTCTAATGGGTAAGCCTCTACCAATCACGCACGTGCTCTCGGGATGGTGGAGTCTGTACGAATACGGTGGCTTGGTCTATTGGTTGGGGGGGGTGTACTCGTAGTCGTGCATGCCGTAGTCGTTAGACCATTGACCCCGCATCCCTACAAAGCCGGGACGGAGCACGCCGGGTTCTCACCGGACCAGGCTCTCACATCACCAAGCGCGAAGCGCCGTGAGATATTCGGCGAGTCGCATGAAGGGTGCGCTGCATCCTGCTAAGGGNATCGCGAGAAGGGTACAGCAATCCCTTCCCTCGCGACTTACGAAGTCGATTATGGTTTACTAACAAACGAGCTTTGCAGCGCGTCGCTTTCAACCTAGACCAGGATTTTTTTCGTGAGAAAAAAACTCTCTCTGCCGGGACTCGAACCCATGACCTGCCTGGCCCCTAGCAGGCTGCGAGGCTACCCAGTAGACCACCGGGGCGACCGGTGTACTGTGTAACTGCCTCGAGGGTGCTTGACGAATTAAAGTCGATTATGGTTTACTAACAAACGAGCTTTGCAGCGCGTCGCTTTCTACCTAGACCAGGATTTATTTCGTGAGAAAAAAACTCTCTCTGCTGGGACTCGAACCCATGACCTGCCTGGCCCTTAGCAGGCTGCGAGGCTACCCACTAGACC